TTTATATGGAGAATCATTACTTACACGGTAAAGTATTTTGATTTCCAGTGGAAATGTTATTTCAAGTGGGGTCCTTTTCAAAAGGACTCATGGTATGTGTGCCAAGAACGACAGTTTTTATAGGCAAATAAATTTCAGGGAAACAACACGTTTGACTTTGGAATGGTGTTCTCCTTGATCGAGCCTTAGTAATCATTTTCAGAAGCAAGTATCTCTCCTCAAACAGCATTTGATGCCTGTTGGCTCTGCTCTAATCCTGGTCACCCAGGGGTCCCTGTCACACACAGCACTCATGTGTCAGACCTGCAGTGTGCAGGACCTAGGCCCCTGAGCTCTCTTTCGGCACGTGGGGCAAATTAGGTAACAGATACGGAAGTGCTGAGTGCAGATCCCACCGCAGAGGAGGAGCACGGTGAATATGGGTTGAATCGGAGTCTGAGCAAGTTCCCCACCAGTCTCCCCTCCTTATACACACCCAGCCTACCGTGGGGGCAAGGTGAGTTAGCAGATGAAAAGACAGACAACCACTAGGAGACAGGCCCTGTGCCCAGAGCCCACAGGGAACATTATCGGAGTGTTGGTAATGCACTACTTGGACTCGGGTGGTTGTGGCTGCTGCATGGGTGTGAGCTCGCGGCTCAGAGCAGGAGCTTTTCCTTGGCTCAACTGTTTGGTTTTCTCCAGCTACTAGTCTGGCGAAGGCTCTCGGCTGCCTCACATCCTCCGTGAGTGCCCAGGTACTGCTTATAACTTCTAAGAGTCCCTGAGATAGTCTGAGCCAACCACTCAAGGAAACATACAGCCAAACTCTTTCAGCAAATCTTCCTGCCAAAACAGAGCAGTAAAAGCCTCAGCCGACTGCAGCACTGTTCATTTTGGAGGGATGGGCCATGCCTGGTGCGGAATAGCCAAGAAGTGAGGGTCTGCCCTGCAGAGGGGAAATCCTTTCTCTCCGCAGGGCTTACGTCTCTCGTGGGCTTCAGGGGAGGGTGGGGGACATCTGCATCAGCCTCCCCTCTGGAGCCACACTCACATTTCCCCACTTAGCTCACACTAAGGAACAGGCCATCAGAGACCAATCACGCAACACTGGACAGGCAGTCTCCTCCCACACCAAGCGAACTTGCAGCCCAGGCAACAGCGTAAGGTTCCAAGGGTCCACTCTCAATGTGTCGATGGCGAGTTTTGGAAAGGACAGGTGTTCAGCGTGCCGCTCCCATGAATAGACTTTGACTAGAGACCACAGCGTGGTCTATCCTTGATAGCTCAGACTATCTCAGGGACTCTTAGAAGCTATAAGCAGTACCTGGGCACTCACAGAGGATGCGAGGCAGCCGAGAGCCTTCGCCAGACCAGCAGCTGGAGAAAACCAAACAGTTGAGCCAAGGAAAAGCTCCTGCTCTGAGCCATGAGCTCACACCCATGCAGCAGCCACAGCGTCTTTAATCTTGGATCACTGTTCTCACTGCACCTTCTGGGGTTTGCCCCTCTGTTACTAGTTGGGAAGATTCACTGTCGCTTCATGGGTTTGTACTCACAAGACTTGCACACAGGAGTGGGACTCCCTCTTCCCTGGCATTCTGGTGCTGTTTAGGAAGGGTGCTGGTGCACAGATAGGAATAACGGGTTCACAAGTAGAGTATATTTTTCTACAAAAATGTAGCTTTCTAAAATAATGAAACACAGCAATAATATCCTTTCTAAATATAATAGACCCAAAACGTGTTGCCTAGTTCAGAGCAAAATTTAAGAACTATGAGCAGTCTGGTGCTACCTGGTGCCTCTCTGTGTGACCTTCGCTTGTCAATACTCACACTGCTGTTTCTAGTGTTTTATTTGTTTTATTTTTTGATAAACACTTATTAGAGAGAGAGCACGAGCTGGGAGGGGGGAGGAGATGAAGAGGAAGAAGCAGGCTTCACCCTGAGCAGGGAGCCCGATGTGGGGCTCGATTCCAGGACCCTGAGATCATGACCTGAGCCAGAGGCAGACGCTTAACCAACTGAGCCACTTAGGTGCCCTCATTTCTAGTGTTTTAATAGAGATCTTTGATTGTTCCTCTAATGTTATAAGCTCAGCCTCAAAAGTCCACAGGCCTTCCTGCATTTGGAATTCAAACTGCCCTATGGATCTCTCATTCTGAGAAGAACGTAGTTCGTAATTGCTCTTTTCAGTCTCCAGGAAAGTTTCTGGATGCTTATTGCTGTGTTCGTGGCTTTATGTCTCCCTACTTCTGTCATCAAAGTCATGATGGAAAAATGGGCTTTCGTGTCTTCTGATTCCCTGTCATTATGTTCCCATAACCAGTAGGCTTGCTCTGAAGTCTTGCGTTTCAGCTTTAACCCCACGTGTCCTCACCCTGCCTGTGAATCTAACAATATGTGAGAAAGTCAGAGGTAAGATTCGTGCTTCGACTCAGACGATCACAGGAATGTCGCTCCTGCTCCGACAGGGAGCACACGGCGATCTGCAAAAGCATGGCTATTTTAAACACACCCTGCAGCTGAGGTCACAGAGTAATAATGCTGAGCTAAAATCCACAAAGTGACAAGCCTGTCTTGGGAGAGACAGGCCCACGGCTGTGTTCATCTCAGGCAGAGCGGCAGGAGGTGAGGAGCCTTCCTAGATGCACATCGGAAGAAAGCAGCCGAAAGCTCACAGAATAGTTAAGCTGAGTGTGGACTGGCATGGTCATTTGGAAGTCTTGGGAGCCCCCGGCACAGGGGGATCTCCACACACACACTCACACACTCCTGCCTTTCTGTGGACTTGCAGGGAGCTCATGACAGATCAGGAGCAGGTCAGGAGTGCAGAAGGACATCTTCTGTGAGGCACGGGCATGGCAGGAGCCGACCACCCCTGCAGGAGGGACGGGAGAGCCCACAGCCCTGGAGGTGCAGTGCATGGTGAAGTTGAGGACCCCGCGGGGAGAGCCGAGGGAACCCCCCACACACACTCCGGCCTCACCAGGAGCCCGGCAGGGAGCAGAGCAGAGGTCCCCGCCCTCTGTAGGCGCCTACCTGCGGTGGGGGGGACACAGCATGGAAGGACTTGGCTCAGCGGTGCCATGGGGAGATATACTGCTGGCCGGGGTGTGGGGAGGGTCGGGGGCAGGGCCGGCGGAGGTTGCAGAACAGAGCGGCTGAGAGGCCTCTCTGGGAAGCGGCTCAAAGCACAGACAACTCAGGGGCCGTGGGACCTGTGTCCAGGAGGAGGGGAAGCTCGGGCAGACGCTGACACAGGAGCTCTGGGCATGAACGAGGGCCACCAGGGACGGGGCAGCTAACTCAGTGACCAGGGGACAGTAACGGGAGACACGGACAGAAAAAGAGAATTGTCAGTACGGCCTTAGAGGCTGGTTAAGACTTGGACTGTCACATTAAAGGTTGTGCCATGCTTTCAGAGTAGTTTTCAGTGACCAAAGGTTAGAGTCGTGCAACAGGTCCAACTATTTAAAACACATTTGAGGGGGCGCCTGGGTGGCTCAGTCGTTGGGCGTCTGCCTTCGGCTCAGGTCATGATCCCAGGGTCCTGGGATCGAGCCCCGCATCGGGCTCCCTGCTCCGCGGGAAGCCTGCTTCTCCTTCTCCCACTCCCCCTGCTTGTGTTCCCTCTCTTGCTGTGTCTTTCTCTGTCAAATAAATAAAATCTTTAAAAAAATAAAACACATTTGAGCAGAGCGCAAAGCACTTCTAAAGCATCAGTCCAGAGGCCCCCCCCCCACCCCGCCGTGGCATTGCATAAAACTATCTGGGAATGAAGGACATTGATAATATTATTTATTATATTGTGGGTTTACAGCTAATTTTTTTCTTTTCAAGATTTTATTTGAGAGAGAGAAAGGGTGGAGAGAGGGGCAGAGGGAGAGGGAGAATCTCAAGCAGACTCTGTGCTGAGCGTGGAGCCTGACTTGGGGCTCCATCCCACAACCCCAAGATCATGACCTGAGCTGAAATCAAGTGTCGGTTGCCCAACTGACTGAGGCTCACAGGCGACCCCAGGTTACGGCTAATTCTTACTAGTGGTGTTTCTTAATGTTTTTCAAGAGAAATGGAGGGGAAAAGTCATATTAGGACTATATCTGCTCAGGTACCTTTTTAAAAATATGCATGCACACACAAACCTGTGTGCTTCCGTAAGCTCTCTCGGGGGTGGCTTTCATTTATGTAGTCTTGTTCCGAGTCTGAAAGCGGGGAGGCCATCCAGGAAGCGGGGTGGTATAGGGGAAGACGGTGCGGACACTGGAGTCTCGCAGACTTGGGATCAAGCACTGACCCTTTGTTTGAACAGGACACACCTGTTGGCCTGCCCCGAGAGCCCCTTCCCTGCTCTGGCAGGCAGGTGGTCACCTCTCCCTGCAGGTGCCTGTGGTGGGAGGTAGCAGGCACTCCTGCCCAGGGGCTTCCTCGGGCGAGCTCATCCCCTGGAAGCCTACCCCTAGGGATGACCTTGAATGTTTTGGGGGTTTGGTTTCCCAGGCACAGTCAGGGGGTGGTCTCAGCCTGGCCGAAATCTCCAGTGGGGTCCCCACAGCACTGATGAAATCGCTGCACCCCCGATATTCCTTTTTCTTCTTACAGTAGCTGCCCTGCTAGGAGCTGGGCTCTAAGGGTCCTTACGCAGAAAACCCTGTGTCAGGAATTTGCTGGTTTTAAATAAATTCTTTAAATAATCTATCAGAAGAGCATGGGGAAGAAGCAGACCTTTACACATTTAGATGAGGCCATTCCCATCTTGGTGAAGCATGTTTTTCTTCCTAGACCCTCACTTGCTCTGGTAAAAAGCTTGGTTGGGGTGATAAAGCTGGGATTACAATCTCTTGCACCTGCTTTTAGACATTCTCGTTTATACGTGTTCCTTTTTGCCGTTGCCTGGTTTTGTTTTTCTCATTAACGAGTATCACCGGTGCAGCATCAGGGTGACCGGCCTCCACATGAACGAGGCTAACCCCTGCCCCCCCCAAGCCTCCCTTTAAATCTGTCTCTCTTTCATCTCCACAGCAAACCCAAGGAGCCCGTCTTCAGCGCAGGTAAGTCTGATTTCATCTTTGTGCGGGTGCCCCTCACCCCCCTCAGGACTCGAGGGACAAATAAGTAGCTTGTCACCTATGGTGTCCGCCTGGGTGGGGCTGACAGGTTGAGTGCCAGGAGCCTGGGCCCGGGCTCCGAGGCTCAGACCGCAGAGACCGGCCATACAGTAGTCACAGAGACTGGACCCTTTATGTACGCCCTTAAACCTGAGTTAAGATGCGCCAACAAGGAGGAAGAGTAAAATGCCACCACATAAGCAGAAGCAGAACTTCTAGGTGAAAACACTGTGTTGCCTTTGTTATTCTTCCCTGACCCGTGGGGCTTCCGGCTCAACATCTGCATCTCTCCGAAAGGGAAGCTTTCTGATGCGTTAAGTTATAACTTTGTCTAAAAGTAGCTTTTTTTCTCTCTCTTTCTGCCTTTGATTTCCTAAACTGCCAACTAATAGTTCATATGTACCTTTCCATATACCTTTTCTTAACACATTTTATAATAAGGTAGATGCTATTTTTAGGATATTAACCTGATTTAAAAGCACATTTAAAATGCAAAATCATTGACAGGTATGGCATCAGTTAAGTAAAATCATTTATTTATAACTTTTCCAGTTTTTTCCCTTCGATTCAGAATCAAAACCTCTATAAATGCCAGCGTTCTGTATTTATCAGCACGTGCTTTAGTATTCATTTCATTTTCAGGAAGCATGAGATCATGCACTGAAAATGTAGTTGCCCCAGAAGCATGCAGAGCCAGGCGTTGAGCGCACTGGTCCGAACCCCTGCGCAGAGGGCAGGTTCTCCTGCCGGGGGCGGGGCGGCCGCTCTGACTGAGAGCTAGCTGCCCCCGCAGTGAGAGCTGCTCCCCCCAGAGAGCGGGCAGGCCGGTCCCTCTTGCAGTTCTTGCCATCTCTTTATCTAGCGCTTCTGTCCCTGTCTCCGAAATCACAAGGGAAACGCCGGGTGACACACTGCAAAGGTAGGCGGCATTTCTGAAACCTCATAGCTCTCTGAGCAAAACTGCTATCCAGGCTGCAGAAACTTTTTTCATACAGGCAAGCAGGTAATCTCCTCGTATGAAATTGTTTTGGGCACACGAGCCACTCTGACTTACTTTAAGTTAAAAGCATTCCTGCGCATTTACTTGGATGGGTTTTAATAAGTAGCTTATACATTCGATCTGGCTTGATTATTGGCTGACTGCAGGAACTTTGAAAAATCTGTAAAAACCTTAAGAGAGCTATAGGGCAGCCCTGAATGCCCCACTGCTTGACCTGGTATCTTGCACTGCTGCTGGCCTCTCCGTCCGCGCCTTTGGGTTGGCAGCTGTGAGCTATTGTCCTAACATGCCTGGAAAATACCGTTGCTTTCCCTTGCTGCATTTTGATTTTATATTTTTTAAGATTGATTTATTTTCGAGAGTGGGGGGAGGAAAGAGGGAGAGAATCTCCAGCAGGCTCCACGCTGAGCTCAGAGCCCAACACAGGGCTCGATCCCACGACCCTGAGATCACGACCTGGAGCCGAAACCAAGAGTCAGACGCTTCACCGACTGTGCCACCCTGATGCCCCGCGTTTTGATTTTAAATGTAGAATTCTGATTTATCAGTGCAAAACAGTGCCAAGGCAAGGTCCAGGGCTTTTTTGCCTCAGTTAGTGATTTAGAATTGTGCTAAGCAAGCCTCCCTTGTGAGGACTTAACCAGCACCAACTATAATAGACTTGGTATTCACGCACACTGATTATTACAGCCACCGCGGAGGGCTCTGTCGTGCTGCGGAGATGCCATTGTAACCTCTATACCCATCCACGTCCTGTGTCTCCTCTCGTACAAAGAGAACAGATGCCACCGCGTGTCCTCTAGCTCCATGCTCGCGCGTGCCTGCTTGCTTTTCCCTTCTGTCGTCTGCCGGGGGCTCCTGGGTCCTACAGGTGTGGCGGCCACACGGTCCGATGAGCTCAGATTTAGGGCAGGGATTAAGGAAGGGACGAGGTTCCAGGTGAGGATGAGAGCAAGGGCAGAGGCCCAGAGCAGGGTGCTAGAGACCCATTTGGCCAGACAGACGGCTGCAGGCCGGGTGCTCGCAGCCAGGGAGCTTACGCAGCAGAGAGCCAGCAGGGCGCTGGACGTTTGGATCCAGCAGGTAAGACAGTGGGCAAAGGATTTTGTGTGGAGAAAGGACTGGTGAAATCCACTTTGGGCCTTGATGGGTCTGGCAGCAGAATGTAAAATGCCCCAGGGGAGCAGTAAGAGAGCCTGGGGTGCCAGACCTGTGATGGGCCAGTCCCGGTGGATCTGGGGAGGACAGAGCCTGGTGGCAGCATCCTCACGGGAGGGTCCACGGAACTCAGTGCCTGGCACACCATCTGTCTGCAGGATGAGCATGTGGGGGTTCTTATTCAAAAGTCAGACTTACTAGGCCGAGTGGAGTGTGCATCGCACGCATGCATGTGAGACCGGAAATGCACGCACAGGGTAACCTAAAACCGGGACGGCCTCTTAATTTGTAGGCTATATTGCATGTGGCATTGTTTGAAGATCCTTAGGAACAAGACTTACATAACTAACCCGTAAATGTGGTGCTTCTGGCCGTGTAATTACTCCGTGCCTTCTCCTCACCTGTTTCCCCTGCGGATGATTTTTCTGTTGAGTTCTGTGCTGCTGTGGCTGGTTCCAGCTGCCGGGTTTAACGGCCGCAAAGGCCTGGGCCTTTGATATGCAGTGAGTTGTAATGGAATTCACCAGGAGCTCACGAGACATTTTCTCTGCTCTTATTATCTCCTGAAAGCCAGCAGAAAACCCCAACTTATTTCTTTTTAAAACTGCACTTGTCCCATATCACTGGGTTTTCCTCTTGCCCCATAATTTCTTGAAACACCAGAAGCTATTGTATTATAAAAATGTTTGTTCTAGAAGGTTCTATTTCACAATGCCTCTCTCTAATGGGTCTTTTGTTCTTTTATTTTCTTTCTAGCTTTTCCTTGAGACTTTTCCTTCTTGCGTGCACCCTAGCATGTACTTTTGCTGATTTTGTGTTCTTTACACTTGAAAAATGTGTCCAACATAAAAGATACATATTTTTACATTGCGATATAACAAACCAATTTAAATACTGAAAGAAATCTTATGAATTTTGATACTGAAATTGTATATACATTGAAATCAATAAAAAAATTTTAGTGGATTTCTTGTGTTAGTTGTAATTTTTTGAGGTGGCATTTTCCCCCCTCCTGATGCTAAGGAAAACATAAGCACCAAGTCTCTTGTGGAAAAATAATGGAATCTAGTTTTTCCCTGCCTTTTACAGTTGCTCATATCTTTCATGTACTTACGTAAGCAGCATGTCAAACATAAACAGGGTGAAAACTTTTGTTTTAAACTGTTTAACGTTATGTTTTAGTTCTTTTCCCCCAACACATTAATTAGAAATCACATGAAGGGTAAAGTTTGCGCTTTTATGTTAAAGGGCTAAAGAAAAGATAACATTTGTTTTCAGCTACATTGGGCACTGAGGTGTCTTACTGATCTCTTTGTTCTTTTTGTAGAAGAAGGATACGTAAAAATGTTTCTTCGTGGACGCCCTGTTACCATGTACATGCCCAAAGATCAAGTGGACTCTTACAATTTGGAAGCAAAAGTAGAACTACCAACCAAGAGACTGAAGCTGGAGTGGGTGTATCCTTTATTCACTGCCTGGACCTGTCACGAGGTTTAAGTGGATTCATGCCCTGAGCTTAAAGTTTAACTGTAGAAATTCATAAAACTTAGGTTCTCTTAAGCATTTATTTATTTATTTAGAGAGGGGTAGGGGAGGGGCAGAGGGAGAGAATCCCAAGCAGACTCTGTGCTGAGCACGGAACCTGACGTGGGGCTTGATCTCATGACCCTGAGATCATGGCCTGAGCCAAAATGAAAGAGTCGCAGGCTTAACTGATTGAACCACCCAGGAGCCCCAAGTTCTCTGAAGCTTTTTAAGAAAACCAAAATACTCTATTCTCACTTAAAAAAATTAATTTAACAAAAGGGGCTGTATGTTAGCACTCAGTCCAGTGTTCTAGCAGAGGAGGGCTCCTGATTGTGGGGGACACTTTCTTTCAGTCCTGAAAGAAAGATTATAGTTCCTGCTCAAATATGTGTACCTTACTCTCCTGAAAAGAAAGTATTCATATGCTGGACAGGGTTTGTTTGTTTTTGTTTTTGTTTTGTTTTTAGAGAGTCGTGGGAAAATGCATCACTTTCTGTCCTGAATTTTAATCTTTTGACAGAATAAATGTAGTTAAAAACTAGTAGAAAAGCAAGCTTACTGAAAATAATCACAAATGGGTAGAGTTTAGGATTCTAATGAAATTGAAAGAATGGATTGTTTTTAACAGTAGCTGTCATAGGCTCAGACAGCCCTGTGGGACAGATGGAAAATCCAGGAGCTCTATGTGCTTACCTGAAAATGGTGGAAAGGCAAGAAGACACCGAACTTACACACTTAGGAAAATGAGACCATCAGAAATTGAACTAAACTCTACAGGCAGGAGGTTCTCACACCCAGACAAAGAGTGATAACACACCCTGGAAGGAAGGACTGGCACTCCCCCTCAAACCAAGCGGGGGCTTGGCCAGCCTTGGGAGAGTAATTGAAGGAGTAACATCAGGAATACCCCAGTACTCAATGAAGGGAGTCCAGTGAAGGTGTAAAGAAAATCGACATGAATGCTACTTTAAGAGAAAGAAAAGTCCCCCCCGCCCCCCAATCTAAGCCACAGAAATCCGAGTCAGCCCTAGGACTAACGTTCTTGAGATACAGCTGCTGGAGCCCTTCATACCATGAGACTTGGAAAAGTGAACAAGCTCCAAGGAGAAAAAAAAACCCGAAACACAAAGAAATAAAGCCTATGCAAAAGGGTGAATGAAGTGTTGGGTTTTTTTTAAATTGTCCTTTTTTTCCCTTATTTTACTTTATTTTATTCTATTTATTTAACTTTAGAGCAAACCTTCCAGTCCATGTGATTTTAAGACAAAGAACAAAAAGCCTTTCTTCACCCTCAAACAAATTTTTATCGAGTACCAGTTTGATGCCAAGCCCTGAATATAAATTCTAAGAAGTTGGTTTAAATCAATGCTGTTGTCATTTCAGTCGGAAAAATTGCTCTTTGAAATGATATCATATTCTTTGGGCATATGTTTTTTACGTTTTCCAGACTCAGATGTCCTAAGCATTTACGTGCATCTATTTTGGCACATGCAATCGAAATGATTCAGTTCTTCTTTAAGTCAATAATGCTTTACATTTTAGGTTCAATCATAGCTGGAAAACATTATTCAGAACATTTTTTCAGCCTGCTCTATTCATATTTTCAAGATGTAAAATGGTAGAATTTACTTTAGATAAATGGGACTTTTGTTAAATTAGTTTTTCACATCTAAGTTCAAGTGATGTTTTGCTCACAGAATAGTTTGCAGGGTTTGAAAATATACATACCAAAATCTTAATGGAGGTCATTATCTCCAAGGAGGTGAGGATGGTTGTGGCAAGGAGGATCGCAGGTTTTTTTACCCTTTCCATATGTATGCGGGAGTGTTGTCTGTACCTTTTACAAGTACTTTTATAATGTAAGAAAACAAATTTAAATAAAAGATTTAGCTCCTAGAGGACAGTAAAAAATAAGATTGACTCAAGAACTGAGGTCGATACAAGTCAGCATCTTAAAATTTATTTTTAAATACTATAAAATATAAGGAATGTCAGAGTTCAGAGGTTTTTTTTTTGGAATAGTCCTTTTGACCTCACACTGCTTGGTAGTTGAGACAATGTAGGCATCTCACATTTTCAGATCTATTTTGTATTGCAAACGAGCTACAAATGCCACAGCCTGTCATAGGGATTCGATTCACTTCCCAGCCAGGATTCTAGAACCAGAGCGAGTCCTCTGGTGAAGCCGCAGAGTACTGGTGATGTCAGTCCCCAAGTTGGACGATGGCAGGATGGGCTAGGCAGTTGGCAGCCAGCTGGCGCCATTCTAGAGTCGGGCCCTCACCTGTGACAGACCAACACTCAAGCGGGAAGGAGAATAAATACACTCTAGACCTCGTGATACTGAGGTAGATCTGAGCAGGTGGTATGATAACTAGAAGAAAGGGAAAACAAATTTTGGAGCAAAATATTCCAGCATTCTTGTAAAGGGTCAAAATACAGCTCCGAGCTGATTTTAATTCTAGAGTCAAGCTGGTTAGGGTAGCGGGCCTTCCAGAAAACCAGCTTGGCAAAATTTATTTATTTTTAAAGATCTCATTTTTAAGTAATCTCTACACCCAATGTGGGGCTTGAACTCACAACCCCAAAACTGAGAGCCACACACACACTCCACCAACTGAACCAGCCAGGCTGCCCTTGGCAACATTTAAAGGCAGACTAGTTGTGAAGAAGACAGGCATCCACGGAAAATCCAAACAGTTCAACAAAGAAATTTGGCCCTGGCTATTGTTCCCAAGGTCTATGATTGATTGGCTCAATTCAAGAGTTCGCTTTCTGGTAATTTCACAAATGTCCGCTCCAGTTACCTTTAGTAAATAAAATAATAAATTACATTTTTGATCCAGCTGAAAAATCCAGCTTTCAAAAATATAATACATCATTTCTAAAAACAAAGCCCCATCTGTTAAAAATACGTATTAACCTCAACTCAATGGCCGTTTCCAACTCGATTGGCGGCCGGTTGAATCACATGTATTTGGCACTTGAGTATTTATGATCTCATGTTATTGAACCAAGAGAAGATGATGGGAAGAGTCTTACGGAATTGTGTTGTCTGTCCCTGTTGAATAAAGCTGATGTATTGTCAGCTCTTAAAGGAAATCAAGTTTCTCTTGACACATGGAAAGCTATGGGTACCGGGGCCGCGACTGTCGGAACAACCTGTACCTGCTTCCGACGGGGGAGACGGTGTACTTCATCGCCTCCGTGGTGGTGCTGTACAATGTGGAGGAGCAGCTCCAGAGGCATTATACCGGCCACAATGATGACGTGAAGTGGTGAGTCCTCACCCTCATGCAGGTAGCATCGCAGGAAAGGGGCCAGGACTGAGCTAGAACTAGAGGAGAGAAGAGATGGGAGAGAACAGGATCTTTTGGAAACGCTCTTCTTTATGTTCTGCATTGTCACAGCTAGTGGTTGGCTAGTTACCTGGCTCTCTAAGATGCTAGAGACTAGTTTAGGTTCTGTCCATCTAACACATAATCTTAACCAACCATATCACCCAAACCAGCGCTTCCCATAGATCCCCGTTTGGAGGCCTTCTTCGCACAGATGTTAATAGCTTCTGATTTGGCTCTTTTTTAATTCATTCATAATTCACCTATAGCTTTCGATAGGGATTTTATGTATCTTGGAAGGATGGGTGGTTGAATCGGTGACTCTCCCTATTTCTATTTGTCCTAGATCCCTGGTCAGTTATAAAAATCCTGTTGGAAAAAGATGATATTTTTGCTGTTTAACATACTTAATAAAGATTGTCGTAGGAGACTTGGTATTTTCCAAGCGAAGGATGCTTTCTCCTTGAGTTTGGAAATTCTCAAGAAAGGCTGGAATGAAATAGGCACTAATTGTCCAAGGTTGTTGGGGTGCTTGGGGAGTTTGTCGTGAGTCCGTGAGAAGTCAGGCACCCTGTCGTCCTTGTATTTAAATTTTTGACTAGATTATATTTGGCCAAGAGAAGAAAGCTTGTCTTTAAAGAGTGGTTGTTTTATAAATATCCTTTTTTTTAGCCTAGCAGTCCACCCTGACAGGATCACAATAGCAACGGGACAAGTCGCAGGCACATCTAAGGATGGAAAAGTGAGTTACATTATCTTTTCATATTTTTTAATGAACTGTTGATTCGATATCATCTTCTGGAAACATTTTGCTGATGAATAAGCCTGCCTAGATATAAAGTATCTGAGAGCTTCTTAAGCCCTCAGTCGAATATTTTGTTGCAAAAAAAATTTTTTTTATTTTGTTTTTCATTTCCTAGAGAGAGAGCATGAACAGGGGGAGGGGCAGGGACAGAGGGAGAAGCGGACTTTCTGCTGAGCAGGGAGCCCGACGCAGGACTTTGTCCCCGGATCCTGGGATCATGACCTGAGCCAAAGGCAGACACTTAACTGACTGAGCCACCCAGGTGCCCCGCAAAAAAAAATTTTTTTAAATAAATTTTACTGCAGATTTTCTTACAGTGACCTTAAAAACGCCTCGAACTTGCCTTAATTTCAGCCAGTTTTTAAATACCGTTGTTCTTGCCTAAGAATTCAGCAATTCTCAAGATACTTACACACATGAAAAACATTAAAATATTAAGTGTACATTTAATAAGGAGAAGTCATAATGAATAAGCATTTGGATAGGGGGCATTTTGCCTCTTCAGCAAACTTTAGACCCTCAGCCTGAAATACCCTGTATTCCTGACGTCACCCCAGAGTCCTCAAAGGCAGCAGGAGAGTTTGGGCACAAGTTTTATAAGCACGTCAGCAAGACTTTAACTTGAATTTTAAGGAATCAGAGAAGGAGGTAGTGGACTTTAACAGAGAACAATGCGAAACCGTCTTCCAGTTGGTTCTTGACCGCAGTCTGTGGTCCTTGCCATGTCTTACCCAAAATTCCTCGTAGCTTTTTTGATGTCTATTGTATAGCTTATTCTTGCACCATATATGAAGCAAACCTCATTACACAGAGCACGTCCATTTTTACCAGCATGTTTTCTTCCCAAAAACATGAATGCTGCCATTTTTCAGAAAATATTTTAATAACATCAAATTTTAAATATTAACTATGCTATTTCCCATTAAAATTATATACTTAAAAAGAAGTAACAGGGATGATGGAAGATGGAAATCAGTTTACAGTTATGTAGATACCCATAAATGGAAGAGGGTCTTCATCTTTTTTTTTTTGGATTATTATTTTTTTATTAGTATGTTATGTTAATCACCATACATTACATCATTAGTTTTTGATGTAGTGTTCCATGATTCATTGTTTGCACATAACACCCAGTGCTCCACGCAGAACGTGCCCTCTCATGTTAAGTGGCTTTTAGTCTTTGAAATTAGTAGCAAACCGTGCGTTCCTCCCTCTAGTGGATTAAAAGGGCATCTCAGTTTCTAGCATTGAAATTGAATCAGAACTTTCAAGCCAGGGAAGATGGGATGTCTCTCTGAGCCAGTCCTTCAGTTCAAGTGCAGAGAGACTCAGAGAGGCCATCTGACCATCTGCAGACACACAGCTTCTCAGAGCAAGTCCAGGCTAAAACTCACCCCACTCTGTCCACCTGGTATGATGCTAGTCCTTTTCCTGATGCACCTGCTGATGGTTCTCGGATGCTTTCTTCTACTGAGGGAGAGAAAAATTAGGACCATTCACCTTGGAACCCAATTGAGAGGGCTTTGAGCTAATGGGAACAATTCTGAATTTCATCTGTGCATAAGAGATTGCTCGCTTTGCTCCTCTGAGGCCCAAGAATGTTAAACTCTCAATACTATTTGGTGGTGTCCGACTGTACAGACTTTACAAGAAGAGCCCTTGTGTGAGATTCCACTTTCCTTGTCATTCTTCATTTTTAAAATTCGGACTCATCTGGGTGCCCAAGGGAGAACATCAGTTCCTGTGGCACGGTTATTGTTAAGAATTGGCTATTCAGAATGTAAAACCCGGTGGCCCTCCCTGAAGTTAAGCTGGCCACGGGGGCCGTGATGTCCTGCAGCCACTGGGAATGGTTCCTTGATGCCAAAAGGCAGAGTCTTCAAATTTTTGAGCAGGAGAAGCCCTTTTGTTTTGACAGAACTGAAGTAGTCTTGTAGCTTCAAGGTAAAGATAAATCTATATGCCCGTCAGAGTCGGTTGACTCTCTCTCTGCATTTCCTTCTCAACAGCAGTTGCCCCCACACGTGCGCATCTGGGACTCCGTGACACTGAATACACTGCACGTCATCGGGGTCGGGTTTTTTGACCGAGCCGTCACCTGTATCGCCTTCTCAAAATCTGTAAGTGCGAGCCCCGTGGGTACGGGAGTCCTTGTCCATAGGGAGGAGAGAAGCAGCTCAAGGTTAAAGAGGGAGAAAGTTAATGCGCTCGCTGGCTGCCTGGGTGCGTGCGCGGATTTGCAGGCTGACACCACCCTGCTCCCCAGGTCCCCTCATTCAAAGGTCACGCGTGTCCCCTCGGGGTCACACACGTGATGGGAAGAGGCCCTGCAGCACTGTCTGCATGTTCTTCAAGGCGGTTTTGCCCGCTCTGACCTTGAATTTCACCTGCCCCTTGGTAGGCGGCTCCAGTGTGTTTCTGCTCTCCCCACACGGGCTGCCTATCCTTTAGCAGGAGTCAGAGGTGCCTCGTGGTTTCCCAGATCTTCCTCAGGATGTGCCCATTCAACAGATCCACCCTATAAACCACTGTTCTAGAAACTTACACATGAGTGCACGTGTTCACATCAGAACACCACCTGCCTCGGCCCCAGGGTCTTTGCTCCTGCCCAGCCTCCCAGTCACCCTGCCCGTTAGTCACAGACTGTGCTGTGCACCCTGCAGGCACTGGCTCCTCCAGGAGGGGGCCCTGCAGCCCCTTTGGACTTAATCTTAATAGAACCAATGGGGCAGGGTCACCCCTGACCCCTCTCTGCTGCTCCGGTCCCTTCCTTGCCCCACGTTCGCCTGTTCTCCCTGAGTGGCCAAGAAAGCAGGTCTCATAAGCAGTGCATACATATTCTTTAACCAAAATGGGCTCTTTATTAAAAGTAAAGTTAATGTTCATTGTTAATCACTTTTAACCTGTTTTATTCTCAAATGTAGTCTTCCTGGGAATACCTTTCTTTCCCCCCAGAATGGAGGAAGCAACTTGTGTGCCGTGGACGACTCCAACGACCATGTGCTGTCCGTGTGGGACTGGCAGAAGGAAGAGCGGCTGGCCGACGTGAAGGTCTCTCTCCAAGCCCGATGCGGGGCTCTGCTGTAATTTCCCTGTGTGGAGCCTTCTCCTCCAGCTGGCTCCCAGGCCCCGGTCCCACCTCTCGGTGGACCACAGGCTCCCCATGCCCAGTGCGGCCCTCGGGCCTGACACCAGCACCCAAGAACCCCGAGCCTGCCCATCTCCCCTCCCAGGGTGCGGTGCCAAGTCTGGCAGGGTCTCTTCCCCTCATCAGGACACCTGTAAGGTTTCCTTCTTCCTCACTTTACAGCCCCTCCCCTGCTAAGCCACTCCCTTGCTCACTGTTCCCTGCTGCTTTATTTCATTCCACGAATGTGTGCTCCTGCGGTCGAGGGGCCAGGGTGGTACCCTAGATGGGCTCCCTGCACCACCAGGGAGGGCATGGGGGCATGGAGACAGGTCAGGAGCAGCTGAGGGAGAGGTCAGCGCGGCCAGCATGGGGCTTGTCCAAAGCTGAGGGGCCTGCCGGATCCCAGCCTTCCCAGTGGGACTCTCCCTGTAGGGGGCTGCGCTTGGCTTCCCTTGACCGCCTCCAGTCCATCTTGTACGATAGGTCACTGAACTTTCCTTAAGCTTTCTTGTATTTTCCTCCTATGAAAATCATGAATGGATCCCAGTTGTTACAGAACTGACTTCAGATTTCCCATCCTGTCCTCCATTAACCTTAGATCACCTTCCTTCCCGAACATTAGGATTGCCATCGGATTGCCTTATCTTTCTCCCTTGAATGTCCAGAATGCAGGGTCCGTATTCTAATCTGGCATGTTTCCTAACACCTGTTTACATGCTATAGCCCTGCCTTCTAATATGCCGGCCGAGTATTTAAGTTCTTGCTAGGTGGCAAATTATTACCCAGGTTTAAGGCGTATAACTGAATTTCAAGCAGAAGGAACAATCACAGTCAGATTCATCTGACCAAAGTGCAGGTGCTGGAAATCCAGAGAACAGGGTCGGGGGTGGTGCAGTGGCACCCAAGAGCCAGATCCCCAACCCTGGAACCCCAGCCTGGTCACCAAACCACCGGCAGAGTCCTGGGAATTCAACCAGGAGGGAATCCCAGCCAGTCAGCCAGGAGCGATGGAGCTATATAAAATCCAGATTCTGGGGTCCCTCCCAAAGATTCCAGTCCCTAGATGGGGCTGAGGCCTGACATCCACATTGTAACACACGTCAGGTGATTCTGTTGTTCAGCCTCAGCTGGGAATCTGTGACGGGAGATGAGAGCAAATTCTTGGATTCTTAAGTTTCCACCCACCCCTAACCCACGCCTTCAGCAATAGCGTGCTGCCGCCCCCCCCCCGCCCCCCGCACAGAGAGAGGAGCCTTGGTCCCTGTCCTCAGGGCTGTGGACCAGGAGGGGAGACAGACAGACAAGGAGAGGTTATGGCACCCAGCAAACATAAGTTGAGTGTGTATGGAAGGTGAGTTCAGGGGGAAGAAAAATCAAGAAGCTTAGGGCTTAACCTGGATGAGTTATTTGTAGTTCGGATGTCATTTATTTTCTGAAGTGTCTTCTGAGACTTGAGACATTTGATTCTCCTGTTTTGCTCAAAGTGTTCCAACGAAGCTGTGTTTGCTGCGGATTTCCACCCCACGGACACTAACATAATAGTTACCTGTGGAAAATCACATCTCTACTTTTGGACGTTAGAAGGAAACTCCCTTATTAAGAAGCAAGGATTATTCGAGGTAACGTTAAATTACATTTGTTTTATTCTTCACTGAGTGGTGCATGTGGTCAGCTAGCTTCTACAGGAGCTGTGAGGCGTACTGCAGTCTAAGAATTTGCTGTAATTGGCAAATCAGGAAGTCTGTCTGGGGGTGTGATGATGAAGAGTATTCCTGGGGATCCCTAACAGAATTGCGGAGCCCCTTGTGTCTCTGTGGGTAGCCTTGGTGATGTCCAGAAGGAAAGATGGACCAACACAAGAAGAAGTGTAGGGATGGTCGCCCTGGGGGCCAGGCGCCCCCTCCCACACGTGGTCCTTGCAGAGAACAACCAGGGAGGCACTCAGGCCTTGTGAGTACGAGGGACAGCGCCTCCTTCCCTGTGGGGCCTAGTACCACTGCCCCCCCACGAGGCCTAGTTAGAGGACCACTTTATTCCGGTGCCAGGGCCCTGTTCCTGAGGCTCTAATCCCGATAACACAGCCCACCCCACAGCCCCTCCGACACCCTCCTCTGCGCCAACTGTCTGCAACTTTATAATTACCAGAAGTTTCTCTATTTTAGAGAAGGTAATCTCATGGCATAAGTTATATAACGGTAGATAAAAATGAAAGGCATATGCAGCTTGGGAGTCCCATGCCTCTAGGTTGTAGGAATACAAATAAGAGAATATCTTGACTGATACAAATATCTATTTACAACATCCTGCAGAAGCAAGAAAAGCCAAAGTTTGTCCTCTGCGTGACTTTTTCTGAAAACGGTGACACCATTACCGGAGATTCAAGCGGCAACATCTTGGTGTGGGGAAAAGGTAACACAGGCTTGTCCCCAGAGCAACAGCTTGGGGGCAAATATTATACAAGGTCAAACGCGACTTCTCTAAGAATTGTCTATGAACACAATTACACTAAATCCCAAGTTTTATAGGTACGTACACGGATGGGTGCCTGTGTAACTTGAAACCTTAAAACTAGAACAGAGGAAAACAAGAATAGCCAAGAACTGTTCACTTTCTATCACTGCAGAAGGCTCTTTAAGCCCAGAATAGTTTGGCAGAATAGCTTTATTAGGAGATCTATTAACAAATTATAATGGTGAAGGTGTCAATGACTATATATTTAGCTATAAAACACTTAAATAACTTTCCTGGTTCCCATGGCTTCTGGCAGATAGTTATTGAGAACTAATTACGTGCAAGACAGCGTGCTAGCCACCGAGCACAGCGATGATCCCGAGGCCCTGCCATCGGGGAGCCCACAGCCTGGTAAAGAGGAGTCATTACTCAGGAAAAATCCATCCGGTTAAGTTCAGTGAGCATTTATGGCAGGAGGAAAGGAAAACCACACCATCCCTGTCCTCAAAGGGCGAGAGTTTGGGTTGGGGGTGAAGGTGGAAACAGGCCCCTAGATATGATTTCAGGGTAACGTGAGGACTTCTCTAGTGTCCCCACTACTGTAGGGGCAGGTGCATCCCACGTCGATCCATTTCACCCTTAGCAGGATCCTGCAGGATAAGCAGGAGCCCCGTTACCGACAAAGGGGAAACCAAGGTGTAGGGCAGTGGAGTCACTTGTCAAGGACGTGAACTCAAGCTCCTGTTCTTCACTGGGTGTAGTCCCGCCATGCTCTGTCCTCAGTTTCCTGGGAGCATGTCCTCCTGAATCATAAAGTAACCCAGGCCATGCTTGTCTGCAGCTGCGTGAGCTTCTGGAAGTTGTGTCCTTTGTAGATTCATACTGCAGAGATGTCGTAACCGACAAGATCACATTTTAAAAACCAAAGTGAAATGGGATGGACAGAGGCGAGCCTTTTGATAACATCCTGAGGATGGTTTTCTTGGTGTGTTTAGGTACAAATCGGATAAGCTACGCTGTTCAAGGGGCCCACGAGGGTGGCATTTTTGCACTTTGTATGTTAAGGGATGGTACGCTGGTGTCGGGAGGAGGGAAGGACCGCAAGCTCATTTCTTGGAATGGAAACTATCAGAAACTTCATAAAACTGAGGTAAGATAAGCAAACAGCATTATCGAAATTCTTTTTTTTCAAAATTCATTTTGAACCTCCTAAAACTGTTACACTAACCAGTTTCCTTGTTAGTTTGAAATCTTCAGCTTACCGTTTTGAAAATAGTTTAGATAAAATTTTGTTAAATAGGGTAACATTTTATTAAAATCATTGGAAGCAGTTTAAGTGTAACTACTAAAATGGAATTTGGTTTGTAAAATTTTAGGTTGTAACATTTCACATTTAGAATATCTTTATAAGAGAACAGTCTCACTTTTCCAAGGGAATATTATCCACATTTTGATTTTTCATTCAAATCTTTCTTCTTGGGGCACCTGGGTGGCTCAGTCCATCGAGCATCTGCCTCCGGCTCAGGTCATGATCTCAGAGTCCTGGGATTGAGTTCTGCGTCCAGCAGGGAGTCTGCATCTCCCTCTCCCTCTACCCCTCTCCCACCCCTCCCCCTGCTCATGCTTCCCACCCCTCCCCCTGCTCATGCTTCCCACCCCTCCCCCTGCTCATGCTTCCCCCCCAAAACAATTAATAAAATCTTTTAAATAAAAAAAAATCTTTATTCTTTTTCCACTTTAATTTCCAGGTGTGAATTTAGGGACATTACCACCTGGAACTAACATTTACTGAGTATTTATCTTGTACGTGGCTGAGTGCCAACATATTCTCTAAAGCTCTGTCTCCTTTTAGTATCTATTTTACTGCCTTATTACCCTGCACACCAGTAGAAACCACAGGCAAGAAGTTTAATCTGTCTCATACACACTCACTGAACTCTCTCCCCCAGGCCCCGGGGAGTTAGGAGCAGACAGACATCAAGGCGGACATCAGTGTGATGGCTGGTGGTCTTCATCCCTAGTGTCGAGTGGTCACATTATAGAACTTCTCCAGCTTCTGAGTCAGATGTGTATAACACGCCCAACACAACACGTTACATCCTGTAACCCATTCTTTCGGAGGGCAGCATGGCCCAGGGCTTTAGCAGTGTGAGATATGGTTCTGTTGATTATTGCTCTTAATAAAGGAAGGCCGCTGGGTGAGGTTTGGAAAGCGCTTCCCTGTTCATGGGGATTTTAATTGTGACGCCATTCTTTATCCTAAGATTTGACCAGCATTGAAATCTTCAGCTTCCCATTTTGAAAATAGTTTAGATAAAAACCCATGTTAAATCATAACTGCAACAGAAGCTCCAAAGCATCATCCAGTTTCCTAGAAGATACTCATCATTTTTTTAAGCATCCATACCTTCCTCTTCCTTAGCATGAATTATTTTCACCTTTTCCCAAATCCGTGCCAACAGACCCGAAAGTTTGTAGAAAGCAGGCAGTTTCTTTCCCTTCTAGAACTGGAGTGCCCAGAGTCCCCCAGCGGAGTCTAGCTGCAGTCTGTTCCTTTATAAAGTGCGAGAACCTCTGTTTATCTTATCACAGCAAATTGTTCTTGGCTGGCGTATCTTGAAATTCTTTGTCTTAAAATTTAGATAATTCCGTATGTTTACCAACATGAACAGTAGATTTCAAAACTAAGTCGTGTGAAGTTGCCAAAGAATCTACCCTTTTGAGTAAAGTTTAGGAACTCTTCTTACGCCTTGTTATTCTTGGCTTTCCAAATTTTACCTGCTACTGCTGTCCAAAGCCACAAGAAGAAAAGAGTAAACTAACCAGTGTTATTTCTTTTTTTTTTTTTTTTTTATTTATTCATGAGAGACAGAGAGAGTGAGAGAGGCAGAGGGAGAAGCAGGCTCCCAAGGAGCAGGGAGCCCGATGTGGGACTCGATCCCAGGACCCTGGGACCATGACCTGAGCCGAAGGCAGACGCTTAACCATCTGAGCCACCCAGGCGCCCACCAGTGTTATTTCTTATTTTTTAATCCTATCAAGAAAAAGACATTTCATTTTTTTTTTTTTAACGACCTTACTCTTGCTGATTGTTTTAAGGTACATACGTGTTTAGAGTTTAAAAGTCAGATGTGGGGTCCTGGCTGTGGACCTTTCTATCTCTCCATATTGTGGGGGGGGGCGCGGCGAGGGAGAGAGGAGCTGTCATCATGATATATAAACACATATTTGGAATGGTGGAGCTAATATTTAAGGACATTTTCGATGCTTTCTTTTCAATGCAGATTCCAGAACAGTTTGGCCCAATCCGGACAGTGGCCGAGGGGAAGGGCGACATGATCTTGATAGGCACAACTAGAAACTTCGTTCTGCAGGGCACTCTGTCAGGGGACTTCACACCCATCACTCAGGTATGCTTCAGCCCAGCCGGCCCACCAAGCACTTTCATTTGATGCAATATCAGAATATCAGAAAGCATTACAAAGAGGAGATGAATCCTTTGTTTTATACCAACATAACCTTCCTTGCCATCAGAGTTTCAGTTGCTGTCATGGCTTAGGTTGGCGGGAAGGGAAACCGAGGAGGGCAGTCGAAAGCATGCGGATGCCGTGGGCACCCCATCCCCGAGACTCCCCGAGTGTTGCCTGGAGTGTTACAGAGAGCTTCATCTGTCTTGGTCCTTTGCAGGGTCACACTGATGAGCTCTGGGGACTGGCCATCCACGCCTCAAAACCTCAGTTCTTGACCTGTGGGCATGACAGGCACGCCACTCTCTGGGACGCTGTTGGTCACCGGCCCATCTGGGACAAAATAATAGAGGTAGACATGCACGTTACATGGCGTTTTTCTTATAAAAGTTCATCTGGAACACGTTCGTTTATGTTTTTGCATGCAATTGATAGTGATAGAAAATTGTCCCAAAGTAAACGTCACCCGGTTTACCTCCTTCAGTCGGCATTGCTTTAAACATGGCCTGAAGTGGTCCCATCCATGTCATCCTGAAGTTTGCTAGTGAAGTTTTCAACAGCAAGCTAGCCTTGTGGAGTTGGTGTTGGGGTCTCCTGAGCGCAGAGTTCCTTCACTGGCTTCCATGCTCAGCAGCCCCTGCCGTGAGCCCGCGCACCATTTACAGCGCACTTCTGGAATGAGAATTACGCATCCAACGTAACGCTAAGGCTTTAGTCTTCCAGTGGGCATCGCTGTGATCCTCCCAGCAGGGACTCCGATTATGTCCTGGAGCGCTGGGACGTCCTTGTCCTGCCAGCAGGGGGCCAGCAGTGATGTAGTTACTAGTACTGGGTGCTGGGCACGTACGAGCCGTAATCCTGGCAGCACCCGAGGCGCCATGTTACTGGATTGGAAACTGAGGCTTAGCCAAGTCAGCCAGCTGGCCGTGGTCACTAGGTCAGCAAGTGACAGAACCAGCGCTTATACCCAGCTCAGTCTGATTCCGCAACCCACGGTCCTCCCCCGCATGTACTGAGTCTAAAGTACAGTACGTCCTGTGTGTGTAGCCTCTGCCCTTGGTGACATGTCCCGCCCCGTGACAGGGGCAGCCCCTCTGTAGCCCCCACTCCTCCTCGCAGCCCTCACAGAGGTCCCGGCACTTCCCAGCATGCCGGATCTGCATTTCAGCCCCCTTGCCCTTTACCCTCCAAGGAGGTCACCAAGGGTCTAGAGCTGACCGTCACTGGTAGAGCTGAGCACTGAGGCAACAAGGCCCGAGCTGCTCAGAGGGAAGAGTGGGTGCGGCCCAGGCAGAAGGATGGGCTAAAGGAAGCGGTGTCCTGTGTTGGACCTGTCCCCCTGGGGGGCTTGGAGGAACAGATGGGGGAACACAGCAGGGGCAGTGGCATCGGGAGGGCGGCCTCCCCTGCTGCTCCTCGGCGCAGCCCCCCTGAAAGCAATTGCAGAGGCTCCATCCCCCTCCTCTGACTGGTCACCCCTCAGCCTAACAGAAGCGAAGGGGCTCAGAACCAGGCACTGGAAAGATCTGTGGTTAAGTCCTTGCTCCTTAACCCACTGGCCATGTGGCTTTGGACAGGAAGCTCCCTGTGCCTCAATGTCCTTGTCTGGCAAATGTTAAGAGCCTGAGTGAATTAATGACATGGTAAACTTCAGGTGGAGGTGATTTCTCTCTGGGTCTCAGCGGCAGCCCTGAGCTTAGTCACAGTTCCCATCTTGAAGAAAGCATTGCCGAGAACAGAATCAGTACCTTAAGGTTTCTGATGTCTTATCATTTTAGTTTATCCAGTAGTGTCTCGGTGCCTCTCTATTTCCATTCCCCTGGGTACTTCTTTCTCAGTCTCCCTGTCACCAATCTCCTCTCACTTTGGTCCATTCTAAGCAGCTCCACCAAGGGATCTTCTGTCTAAAACACAGATTCAATCATGTCACACTTTTTTTTTTTTAAGATTTTATTATTTTTAAGTCCTCTCTATACCCAACATGGGGCTCGGACTCACAACGCTGAGATCAAGAGTCCCACGCTCCGCCACCTGAGCCGGCCAGGTGCCCCAATCATGTCACCGTGTTCTTGTTTCCCGGTGATCTCAGCCCTGACCATGGTGGCACGGCCTACATTATTCGTGTCATCCACATGCCTTCCATCCCACCGGGACATTCTACCTTGTAACACCCTCTCTACCCGCCATTCCTCGAATATGTCCCACTCTGGGTCGCTTCAACCTCTTTGATCACACTGTTGTCCCCGTAACACCTGATCCAAGAAAATACTGAGTGGAGTGTCTGCTCTGACCTTTACCACCCCAATCCTTCCTGGACCGGAAGGCCTGATTCCAAGGGTCTCGGCACCAGGAAGCCTCTGCTCAGCCTCCCTGTCAAGCTTCCTCTAACTCTCCCTCCCCTGTGATTTGACGGCTTGTTTTTCCCTCTGTCATCCATCCCATTCCACCTTGTGTCAGAGTTAGTGATGGACACGTTAGTAACGAACATTAGATCCAAACCTGAATGTGCCTTACTTGTCTCGAGATCCTTCCAGGCCTGCCGAGGATGCTGCGTGTGCCCGGGGGGTTCTCATGCAGTGTTACCACTGGCATTGGGCACAGTGGTCCTATTTCCACGTGCATCAAGCACACCATTCGACAGACTGACCATTCAGCATGGGGGTCAACTGAAGGGGCTCCCAAGACTGGGAGGAAGAGCATTTACTTGCTGGTCTGTCATCTGATTCCTGTAGGTATGAAAAGATATTAAGACAGAAAGAGAAAAACCTCTAAAGGGATCACCATTTAGTGTGACGGACATGTGACCTTCGCCTGAGTAGGAAAACGTTTTTCTCTCTTGGAGAGAAAAGAGCCTTGTTGGTTTAAATGGGACCACGTAGCCCCTTTGGAACAGCTGTGCTTGTGTGTTTTCTGTGGTAGCACTGTGTCTGGCCATCAATTTACACTTCCTTTAAAATGTTTTAGGATCCAGCTCAGTCTTCTGGTTTTCATCCTTCAGGGTCTGTGGTTGCAGTTGGAACACTGACTGGGAGGTGAGTCCATGTCAGCACTGAGGTCTGTGTTTCCCCAGGGGCAGGCATGGGGTCTCTCCTCCTGCCCCACTCGGCTTCTAGCCACTTACCGAGAATTAAGCCAGAACTCAAAACTAACACGGAAGACAGCGGTCCTTCGCATTCGGGACTGTGGGAAAATCTGACAGATATAGACCCTTCTAGAAAAGCCGCTCCAACCCGCCCAGGCACAGACATGCACGTACATGCAGGCATGCATACACACACACACACACACACATGCCTACCTACAGTTTTGGGGGATTTGTGGAGCTCCCCAAGCCCTGATCTGCAGGCTGTGGGAGAAGCCTCAGCTTTGGAATCAGGCAAGAAAGCATTTCAAAGTGCTGAGAATTTAAAAATGCTTTTCTTAAAAAAAGAAGAAGAAGAAGATAGCAGGAGGGGTGGAATGAGGGGGAGTAAGTCGGAGGGGGAGACGAACCATTAGAGAGGATGGACTCTGAAGAACAAACTGAGGGTTCTAGAGGGGAGGGGGGTGGGGGGATGGGTTAGCCTGGTGATGGGTATTAAAGAGGGCACATTCTGCGTGGAGCACTGGGTGTTATGCACAAACAATGAATCATGGAACACTACATCAAAAACTAATGATGTAATGTATGGTGGTTAACATAACAATAAAAAATTATTAAAAAAAATAAAAATAAAAATAAAAATGCTTTTTTTGCTCCCCTTTTGAAATTTTAGAAACTGCCCAGATCCCGAGCCTCGTGCTCAGATTCTGCTAACGCTTATTTACCAAGTGCCTCCAGTAGGCCAGGCAGCAGGCCTGCACTTGAATCCCCACTCCGCCCCTCAGCAGCTGTGTGTCTCCAATTGGCTGGATAGCCTGAGGTGTTTCATTTCCTAAACTGTGACGGTATCATCTGCCTAGACACAGGGTGCTGATGACTGAAGGAGATGGCGTGTGAGGTGTTTTCTGGGGTGGCCTGGCACACGGTGTTGGTGGCTCTGGTGATCACTCTTTTGTACATTTTGATTGCACTTTTATATTGTTTGTCATAGTACATTTATGCTCGTTGCGGTTTAATTCAAATATTTTTGGTGATTTCCTCCCATCCTTCCTCTCTGAAAAGCAAACCATTTGGACTCCGTTGTGATGCCTGTGGGTTATGTATAAGGAAAGAGGAACCATTTATAAGTCACAGGTCACAGTATCTTAAGAGTTGGACACCTCATACCCAACAGAATTCTTCATGAAAATGTTTTGCCGTGTGTGTGCACACACACACACACACACACACACACCCCTTCCTTGTAACTCTCCGGGGGACAGTGGAAGCTTCAGACTCAGCAGGCTCTGATGAATGGCTGACAGCCAGTGATCACCAGACCCACGTGCTGACTACGCACAGTAGGACAGGGCCTGGGTACCATGCCAGGATGCTCAGCATCACAGACAAGGTCCTGTGGGTGGAAGAGATGGCCCATGGAACCTAGTCCTTCCCTCCATGTATGCCTCCCATATCTCTCGGCCTCGCACCAGCCTTAGCTCTGGATGGGGCCGTTCACGGGGCTTCAGAGCATAGCCCAATCAGCCCCAGCCTCTCCGCTTCTTATGTTCTGGCCTCTGTTCGCGTTCAATAGCATGTTAAAGGTAAATGGTTGTTGAAGATGCAAGTCGAGAAGCCAAATCCAAATTTCAGGGGCCAGCCAGTCCCATGAAGTGGGCCGTGGGGAAACTAGCAGCGCTCACTGGCTGTGTCCGTGGAATGCACACCGTCTGGGGTCCCCTGGGTCTGAAGCTGCCACAGCAGGGCACCCACAGGCCTTTTCATCCCTGAGAACCCTCGAGTCCTGTTACTGCCACCCCCTGAGAACACACAGGCCGGAGAGTACACGTACCAAGTACCGTGTCCTTGCTGGCAGATACGAAGCACATCTGTATCCCTTAGAGTTTCCTTTAATACTGGGCCTCTGCGGTGGACTTGGCCCTTATTCCCATTTTATAATCGAGGACACGGAGCCCAGACCAGGCCTGTGGCCGCCCTCCCACCTCTCTCTCCACCCTGGCTTTCCCTTGGCTGGTGCCACCAGCATCATTCTCAGCAGACCAGACACCCCAGGGCTGTCCCAGCTCACCCCCCGGGACCCACCCCGCTGCTCTGGGGCCAGATCTCTGCCCGTGCAGGCAGCCTTTGCGGCCTCCTCTGGCCACGGGCCCAGCCTTAGGGCTTCCTGTCCTTTGACAAGTAAGTGACAAAACTCAAACACTGAAGACCGCGTCACCACACGGGAACCAAATCATTTTGAAGGGAAGCCAGCATGCTGCTTCTTTCTTTAGGATATGCTCGTATGAAGGAACTTTTCCTTAAAGAAAAGCCAGGAATAAGCGTTCTTATTAAGCCAACACAGAGTATGCATTAAGCCCCGAGAGGAATAGTTTTTAATAGTTACTGTTAAGTGTACTAGGCTCCCTTTATTTTCTCACCAAACAACTTATCGTGCTTTTTCTCGTGTTCACAACAGGTGGTTTGTGTTTGACACGGAAACAAAAGACTTGGTCACCGTTCACACGGATGGAAACGAACAGCTGTCCGTCATGCGTTACTCACCGGGTGGGTGAGAGCTGCAAACCACTTGCCATACAATTATGACAGTTATGAAATCCTGTGTAGATGTCTTTTAAGGAAGAAATCTCACAAGCCTCCTGAGCGGAGCCAAACTATACTGCATCTAACCGTCAAACATAGACAAAATGAGACCGATTCGCATACTGAATCCCCATGTATTCATCACCCAGCTGCAGAAATACAGATGCTTAGCCGATCTGGCTCATCCAGAGCCCCCCCCCCCAACCGCCCCTCCAAGGCAGTTCCCAGAACTCAGCCCTTCATCCATTAATATTACTGTCCAGATCTTAAAAAGATGAGGCCTCTTTATTTTTTAACAGCTTTATTTAGGAGTAATTTCCATACAATACTTTCCCCATTATAAATGGACTCTCAGTGACTCTGAGTGAATTCATGCCATTGTACAGCCATCATCACAAACCAATTCAAGAACCTTACCATCACCCCCAAAAGTTCCCTCCCTGCCCCTTAGCGATTAAAGCTCCACTCCCACCCCTCAGCCTTAGGCAACCACTGATCTGCTGTCTGTTCTATAAATTGCCTATTCTGGACATTCCATATCAATGGAATCATATACTACAGAGCCTGTTGCATGTGACCTCTTACCTGGAGTACTGTTTTTTGAGATTAATTCAGGTTATTATGCGTGTATCCGTAGTTGATGCATTTTAACTGCTACATAGGATTCCACTTTATGGATGTACCTCATTGTGTTTATCCGTTCATCAGTCAGTGGTCATGGGGGTTGTTTCTGGTTTCTGGCTATTACAAAGAGTGCCACTGGGAATATTCACTATAGGTCTCTTTGTGGTCATTTGTTTTCATTTCTCCTAGGTACATTCCTAGGAGTAGGATTGATGGATTGCATGGTAAAGCTGTGTTTAACATTTTATGAAACGGTGCCAATCTGCTTGCCAGAGAGGCTGCACAGTCTTGCGTTCCCACCAGCAACGTGTGAGGGTTCTGGTTTTTCTCCGCATTTCTACCAACACCCGCTATTACCTGCCTCTTTTATGACGGCCCTCCTGGTAGTGGGGGAGTAGTATCCCGCTGTGGTGCACCTCCCCCGCAACCATAAGAGATGCTGGGCATGTTTGCCTGTGCCTGTCGATCACTCCTGTATCTTTGGTGAAATACCTTTTTGGGTATTTTGCCTGTTTTCTAGTTAGGTTGTTTGTCTTACTCTTGAGTTGTAAGAGTGCTTTCTATAGTTTGTGTATAAGTTCTTTACCAGCTATGTGATTTGCAAATGTTTTCTCCCAGGGTGTGGCTTATCTTTTCATCTTCTTTCGAAGCAAAACTTTCCATTTTGATGAAGTCCAGTTTCTCAGATTTTTATTTGAGGGATCATGCGTTTAGCGTCGCACGCAAGTCATGAAGTTTTCCCCTCTGCTTTCTTTCAGAAAGGTGACTGTTGGGGCGCCTGGGTGGCTCAGTCGGTTAAGTGTCTGACTCTTGGTTTTGGCTCAGGTCATGGTCTCAGGGTTTTGGGATCAAGTCCCACGTCAGGCTCCATGCTCAGCGTGGAGTCCACTTGAGATTCTCTCTCTCTCCCTCTGCCCCTCCCCTGGGCTTCTTTCTCCCTCTTTAAAAAAAAAAA